GCCCCTACCGGCAGCAATGGCCGTCTTCTCGTCCACTGTCACGGCTACCGCGGTGCTCGCTGTCACGACCAGTGGCTCGTCGGTGCCCTCTGGGGAGACAAAATGACCGTCACTTGTCAGCCCCTGGGGGAGCCGCAGCTGAGGTAGCCGAGCCTACTGTGTTCCTTAGAACGGAGGGCACGGACAGACCGGGCGAGGACACCCTGGGGCGGCGGAGGCGTGGGCAGTGGTGTCTGGGGAAGCCCAGGCCGCGGTCCCCTCGCATCGCGCCTACGTGCCAGGTGAACCGCACCGCGGCCGCGCTCCACGCTTGCTCTGCTGCCTGTCTGAGGCTGTGGCCCCACTCACGCGCCAGGCAGCAGCCGCTCGGGCCCAGCTGGACCGGCCCTCAAGACTAGGGTGGCCCCACATGACCCTCAGGAGTGGCGGGACAGGCTGTGTTTCGGACCGTGCGGTCCTTGGTCGTCCTTCGTGAGCCAGAGTGAGTCAGAGGACGCTGACAGCCCCCTCGGAAAGCCAGATGCCCGGTGAGCTGCACGGGAGGCTGGATGGCACCTGGCATGTACAAGGCACTTGGCCGACTCGGTGACTGCCGGCACCAGCCCCCTGCTTGCCCTCCCTGGCTTCTCTGCTGGTGACTGCACTTCTGGGGCACTCTGCCAGGCTCCCAAAGGCAATGGGGCTCGTCTCGAGTTGCTCTCTCCACCTGTTTTTAGGGAATTGGCACCACCACAGCTGCCGTCTCAGAAAATTTAGGGGGGCTCAGCCCTGCGCTACCCCAGGGCGCTCTGGCTTCGAGTCCCCATGGGGGCCATGCATGTGCCACCTAGCTCTGGCTCCTCAGCCTCAGTCTGTGGCCCTGGACTAGCTCTTCCAAGCTCTCCCCTCTACGGGTCAGACTCGGTTACTCAAAGTTCCAAGAAAGACGCAAAGTTTCGTCACGTGAGCTCCTACTTTGTCTTGCTATCAAATGTGGAAATAAGTAGGCCGCAGGAATCCCATCACGTGGAGGTTGTTGACAACAGCGCCAGCCATAGCAAGACTGAACCCCGATTTCTTTAAAAAGCTTTTTAAAGAATTAACTTAATTGGGACCAGCAGTTAGCATAACAGCTATGTCGCTGGACTCCCACATAGTCAACTGTGGTTCGCGTCCCGGACCCGGTGGCTTAAAACTCACGCCAGGTGTGTGTGCGTGCATGCCCAAGATCCCGAGAGGAGAATGGAGGAGAAGGGATTGTGGCGTGACCATCCCCCCCTGGGGGGTGATTTCTCGCTTTCTGTCTCTCTGTTTCTCTCTGTCTGGCTGGCAAGTGCACGTGCCCTATAGCAAAAACCTCTTAAAAATTAATTTGTTACTATTATTTAATTTTGCTATAGGGCACGAGTGGTCACCAGAAAGAGAGAGAGGGAGAGAGAGAGAGAGAAAGTGGGAAAGCAAGCCACCGGATCCAGGACTTGAACTGCAGTCAGCTATGTGGGAGTCCAGTGTCTCAACCACCATGCCACCTGCTGGCCCCTACGCCCAGATTTCTCATATGGTTGATATGAGGGC